ACGGTGACGTTAAAAGGTTAGTGAAAAACACGAAGGGTTGATGTCGCCCCGTCACAGTAAATTTCCGGGAAGCAATGAATACGGTTGCTACGTCACTTCTATGAACACCGCGACATTCCAACGTTCCATGGAAATCAAAGTTTTCAAGTTCAAAGTTTTTCCTCGCGAGAACGTACTTATCAGGATGATCAGCTGTATAAGATAAAGAGTCGCGGTTAATTAATAATTGGCATCTGTCCGCGGAAAAACCGTCGGTGACAAATTTATGCGTGTCACGTAAGTATTTATGCGTGACCAGTCGCGATAATGAATCGTCGGTGTCGTTGGAGACGGAAAATCGAATTCTCGTGTCGCGCAGATCTAGTTTCACTTTATCGAAGTTTTTTTATACATATTGTGTTCACACCTCTAATGATAATGAGCCGTAATTTAATGTACCATCAGTAATGACATTATTTTCAAATGAAATAATGATAATATGCTAGTTTTCACTTGAAAAATCAGTGGGAACATAAATTATATAGTATCAGGTTCATCTAAGATTTATCAGTCGCCATTCGATTTGACACGGCACAATGATAAAATTTTTAATTCAATATTATATTCTCTGATATGTACATACCAACACATTAAACATCAAAATAAAACGATTTCATCCCTCAATATATGTAAAATCTTCGTTTACATTAGTCGCAAAAAATATCATCGATTTTATCATCAGAAAATAATGAATGTTTATAACGAGAAATATCGTCGAATGCAAAGGGTTGGTACCCCCAAGTTACTCAAGCTTCTTCCACCTAACGATACTAATTGTAAGCGGCGATGAACGAGAAGAGTTGGCGGCCGCGCTCGACTATTCCTCCCGTCGGTTTCTAATGAATAAAAGTCTCCTGAAAACGGTCGGCCGCTTTCTCCGTTTAAAACTTTCTTCACCGCTCACAGGACCACTTCATCCGCTTTCTCCCAACGTCACGAGTGACATTCAATACGCTAAAAGTCACGGCGAGGGAATCGCGAGCCCGCACTGCTCTCCAGCCGAACACTGACCTATGACTGAACTTGTGTAACCTTTCGGAAGTTTATGTCGTCACAGGAAAAAGCTGCCTGCGATCGTTGTTCGCGGATAACCTTTAGTTACGTGAAACGAAAGGATTTACGTAGTTATTTCATTTATTTCATTGAACGACGACGATAGCAAATAGAATTTTTTTCGGCGATGTTATATCACTGCGAATACGCCTGTTTTCGTACACATTGATTCATGGAAGAGATTTAACATGTAAATTGCGGAATTAGTTTGAAAAATCTCTCGTTTTGCTCGCAATAAAATCAAAAAATGAAGCGTGTATTCGTCAAACGCAAGACGAATGCACCTAGTGAACTCTACTTCCAAAATATTTATGAAATATTTTTTTTTCCTTTTGTTTTCTACTATACGTTGGATATATGAATAATACACCGGAACCACTACATTTCTACAATTGCTTCCATAAAATAAAAATATAACATAATATTATATAACATTAACAACGAATGTGCACCCAATATGGAACGTGTATTTATCATATTAGCTTTCCATGTATTCCGCTAGGAAAACACCAATTATTCTAAGAAGAAAATAAATTTGTGTCAAATTGCTTTTGAATAGTGAAGAACAAACATGTTGAACGATAAAACAATGAAAAGTAAAATTCTTTAGCCTATCTATATCAAGAACTCTGCCATACACAAAAATACTTTCCATACAATGACACACTTCTGTCCAACTATTAACACGTTGAATGCCATGGGGGTCACCGGTGATCCCCAAGCAAATCGAATTACTATAATTCACTCAATTAAACGATGATTATTCGCAAACATTTCTATATTATAAATAATACTCCCCATTGCGGTGACATTCAGTTTGATGAACGTGCAATGATAATAAGCCAATTCAGTCAAATGATTTAATATTGTACTTTTTCCATTTTGTGTATTTTGCTCTCTGAAATCGTACAGCGTTCAACGTGTTAATATGATTGTTTTCCATTACCAATGAATTGTGTCCTGTGGTAACTAACACAATAAGCTATTTATTTCCCGAAATACTATGGTGTTCGATATTGAACACTGCCTTTAGCTTATACCAATTTCTACGAAAAATGTACTCACTGGGCCTGATGTCACGGATAGTCCAGCTGGTGACTGTGTACCGGAGGTTGTGGAACACTAGGTCCACTTCCGGCCTCTTTGGAAACGAGTGTTTCTCCTGGAAATAGTAGTTTTCCTTCGATACGATCGCGACATTGTGCACATCGTCGTGGCTAGTCTGATCGGTCTGGCAACAGCTGAGCGACGACCGTGACGGTGAACAGTGGTTCGGCGATGTGGTGGTCATCTTCTTACCGCGGTGATCGCGATGGCGAGATGGTCTCTCGTACACGGGGAAACGGTGTTTTCCTTCTGACCGTGATTCACGACTGAAGAGGCATGTCTAGCATCGGCTTGTCCACCTCCTCTCCTTTTTCTCTTCGCCAGCCACGTGGACGCACCGTTTCCTTCCTCGGACAGGTCACGTCTATTGCATAATTGCAGCACGCGTCGCGTCTTTCATGGAAAAAAAGAAAAAAAACATCATGCAGACAAGACGTTGTTTATTGCGAATTACAATCACGTAATGATCAAACCGTGATGATCGCACAAAATTCGTTAGATGACCCTACGTGGTAATCGACCTTGCCAAGGCTCTCGGCTTATGCAGAGATTTGATGTGTCGCACAGTGTTTGTGTCGGATGGAAAAAATCGGAAAATTGAAGTCTAGGAATCAGAAATTTTACTGTGCCAAAATATTATAAAAAGGTTGTGAATTTTAATTCTACTCTTAACTTTCACAGATTTCGTCAACCTGTTATAAAAAGTGATATTAAACGTTCATTGTAGTTTTTGACGCAAATTTTCAAATACGTGCCATTTGATGAATGTTTATTTGTTTAATTGGATTTTTATAATTTCTTTTTGTAATATTAACAATTTTAACCCTTTGCACTCCGTTGTCGCCGTGACGGCGACATTGTAAGATAAATTTATAACATCGTTTTTAGTCAAACATAACTTTAAAATGTATACGCACTTTTTTAATGACAAAGCAGGGTCTTAAATCGTCTACAGAGGCACGCTCGTAGCTGATAGCTCATATTAAAACTGTATCGGAGTTGCTGAAAGGTTATATTAAAAATTGTTCGGAGTGCAAAGGGCTAAACAATATACATTGAAATAGTTTTAGTTTATGTTAAATAAATAAATAAATGTTAGTGATAAAATTAGAAATTAAAACAGTCATTTTATTAAAACTTAATTCTATACTATAACAGCGACACATATTCTGTGTTTGACGAGTATACTCGTCATAACACGAAACCTTGCCATTTCTTCGTGATGAGAAAAATTGAATTGAATTCGCATAAGTAGTTTTTACCGGTAGACGAATTAAGTGATTTATTCGACACACCGATCGATAGATAGATCTCGTAACTGTATGGCGAAGAATGGGAGCAAGATCTGGAAGTTGCATGAAAAGTGGCACTCGTTAAATCTGGAAACCGCTACGACGCTGGCGTATCCGTGTCGTAATAATCAGCTAAACCGGCTTAAACTTCCAACGAAGGTTGGGCAACAACGCGCAAGGTGCAACGCGTGTCCGTGAACCGTGAATTGTCGAAGGAATGAATGGCCGGAAAAAATTGCTGGCCGTAACTTTAATCACGGCGGACCGTAAACTCTCGATTCTGGAACGGATACGATCAACATTCGCGCGTTCCGAGATGAAATTATAACGTGCTACATTCGTTTTCAACCTTAATAAATAGCTGCACGTAATTAGGCGTGTGAATAGTCGCCTCACTATTCTGTCATTTCGTGGTACGCACCGGTACACTTCGCATGCTTTCTGCCATTAAAGGAATCGGAATAGTATAGACAGTGAATCAATTCGATTAATCGCGAATTCGCTGGGATTATGATCGACATTAGGACCGGTTCAATGAAACGGCAACGAGATCGATTACTGAGAACCAACAATAGATACGGTAATAGGTACTTCTAAGAGGCATAGTTCAGCTACTAATAAGTGGAATTCTGTTAGAAAAAATGATTATTCTGTTACTGGTAGCAGAGTGAACTATAGTGAAATTATTGTCTTACGTGTTAATAGTATACCAGTAACAAAAATAGAAGGTGAATGTTAATAGTTGAAATATTAATAGTCTGGCAGGTACGGAATATGAACGATAGGACAATCCACTTCTACAAGAGTAATAATAATACTGGCAAAGATTGCCAATGTATGTTAGACTTATGAAGTGAAAAAATAACTGCTATTTGAGAAAGTAGTGATATGTTAACAACAAGAATAGTATCTAAACAATGTTAATAATATCAATAATATTAATAATGAATTCAACAGCAATAATGAAACCAGTTTTAAATGCTTCAATATACTTCTCGTATGTATCAGATAGGATAATTAGTAATTAATTAGCGTGTCGTTAATGTATAGCGCATAATAGATACTTTTTATTGATGCTGTTTAATTTGCATGCTCAATGCTGTTTTCGAAGTAATCGTTCATGCAGAATTACATGCGATATTACGAAAAGTCCATCTGCGTCATCGGAGAAGTGTCATCACGCTAAGCAAAGTGCGATAATCGAGATACCTAATCGAACAAAACCACACCACGAGAAATGTAATTGGCGAATAGGTCGTTACGTATTTCAATATTGTGGAAACCAGATATAATGTAATAAATTGCATGTTCCGCGGGGTAATCTCTTAACTGACAGCTATAACCACACGATAGCGAAATTAAAGGTTGAAGGTCGTTAATTACACGCAATGATTAGTATACTTCTAGAAACATAGCTCTCGATACGGTCATTTTGTAAATCATGTCCCCAATGTTTGATTAACGGAACAAATACCCGATAGATGGAATATTTTTGTTAACACTTACATATTGGCATATAAACGGCATGCTTAACTCCTCGTCCTACTATTTTTTTTTTGCAACTGTGTTCGATAAAACTAATTTAAGTTCAACACTTTGAACTTCAAACAAAACAAAAGTATTTGATACTGATTCTATGAACAGGTTTACTCTAAAGGTTAATGATTGTTAATAAGAAAGTAATATCTAATTTCTATTTCATAAAACTAAATAACATTTAGATTTATCAAATTCAGTTTAAAATATTCATCGCGAGTTTAACACGATATTATAGGACAAGTGATTAATAATATCAAACAAAACTTTTGAAGTTCAGAATTCAACAATCTCAACGCATACACATTTCGGAAGCTCAAAAACTCAAAATCTTGAAGTATCAAATACTCAGACTACCGAATTAAATCAACAGATTTTAAACACTTCATTTACCCAGATCCTTGGACTTTTAGACTTTCCAAATTATTTAGACTCTCAAATTTTCAGATTTTTGGATTTTTTAACTTTTTGGAGATCCATTTAATCCAAAAATACTTCCATCCTGGTAATTACTATTATAATTAATACTATCCTCGATTCCTCAACTTTCGCCTATCTTTTTTTTCCAGGTGAAGCATAGTCTGACGTTATCGTGACCGAGCAAAAAACAGGTTTTTACTTACGAATCGCTGATGCTTCGTTAATTCACCGATTAATTTTCGTGTTCGATTCATGTCATATGGTCACATTAATCATATCATGCATAAGTATCAACGCGACACCGTGATGATTAAATCGCCAATTTTTAAGCGTTCATGGGAAATTTGAATAATAAATAAAATAAATATCCAACATTTATAATTAAAAAAAAACTAACATGGACGGCATATGGACCATTAAAGGAACAAAAATTATTTTATCCTCTTAAAACTTGAAATTGAAGTAACCACGAAGAACAGCATTTAAGATGCCTAGTCTGTATAGGTACAAAATTTTTTAGGTGATAGATTCAAGCAGTCTAACTTCTCCGTTTTGGAGAATCTAAATAATGAAATTTTCGACGGGACCATAAATGGTCCATATTGCCGGTAGACGGTTAAGCATGCAAATAAATTTATTGAACCACCCCTTGACAAAAATGCAAATTTTTCTTTATCGTGAATTATATTGCGAACGATAAGAGATAGCGAAAGAAAAGTTTAATTGTATAAATTTACAGAGAATCGTCAGCAATTAAACGAATCTGGACGATAACACGATAGCATTCCGTACTGCTACAAACAATCGTATGTAAATGTCGTCGATCAAACGTGTTTTT